ACCATCTATGCCACATAATAAGTGTTAGTTCAATAATCTCGTTCCAAAAGATCACCCAACGCTTCTCCAAAAGAAAGTAGGGGAGAAAATTCGGGGAAAAGTTCGTGTGTAGGCTGCTTGGGTAGTAACCAATCCATACAGAAATATAAGTGATACCATAGTTCCGAAACTTGGCCAATTTATTCCAACCACAACAAAATAGAGCTGTTCTCCTGTGTGGGTGGGAAACTTCGCTGCCAATTCACTCCTGACCTGAAAGCTTTTAACGTGCCCGAACATTCGGTTTTTGATTACTCGGTAAACATACGAAGTCCTTATGAGGCCAAAAAGTCAACCGCGTGCGCTTCCACTGCCTACTCCTGAAGGGGGTACAAAATGTATCGAGTAATTCTAATTTTTACGGCAGTATACCTTTCCAAATCGGAAACCTTCGAAAATGTTGAGTTATCTTTGTTATCAGTATTGTCAATTATACTATTAATATAGTTTTTTTATTTTTTATCATATTTTTTCTGTCCAATTATGATAAATAAGTAAATGTAATTTTTTTATTTCCATGCTAATTCAGAAATCGTCGCGTGAACTAGGTTTTTCCAAAAACTTCATTGAAGTCTCATATATTGTGCAAATCTATTACAAATTTATTATAATCTGGTATGTCGAGGAAAACTGCATCAAAAGTTGTGCCGAGGAAAATTGCATCAGAAGTTGTGCAGACAAAAATATCAAGCTATCTTTGATTTTTTTATTCAGAAAAAACTTAAAAATTAAAAATTTCAAGTAGACGATCTTTCAGTGACCTAAATGTTTTTTTTTCATATAGAATAATGCTACAGTTGGAAATCTGATATGAGCATAATGTTGTGGGCATTTTAGAAACCATCGATGAATTCTTCGGCCGACAAGAGATCTTGATTTCTAAGTTACTGACCAATTATAGAAAGGATATCCCTCCGATATACTCACGAGGTGCGTTCTTGTTCTGATATTTCAACAAAAAACAAAAGTGAACAAATGATTTTGAGCGAAAGATGAAATGGTGGCGAAAGTGCTATCGTAATCTTGCTGAAGCAACTTACACAGCGGTAAAGACTTTGTTAGTACTAATCCAGTTGGTGTTGGAGCTCATGCGACGATGAACACTGGGGCTTTATCTTCCTCTAGTTGGAGTCTTTTCTTGGAGACTAGAATGAATTCGCTTGTAAGGGATTGGGTTAAAGGGAGCTCCAGTGCCGTAGTTGAATCAAGGACCGGAATTCCGGGCAGGGACTACATCCATTCCGGTATTAGGAACAAAGTCCTTACACTGGTGGTTTTTCCGTTACACTGGAGGTTGTTCCGTTATAGTTTGACTCCAGACCTACAGAAAATGAAGAAGCACGCGTTCCATGTCCAGTTCTTTTCTGGATTTAGTCATCTGCTGATTTTTCAAATCACCTTTTCTCGTGTGGCTTACTCTTGGTGCATCACAGTAAATAACTAAGAAAATCAGCAAGTAAGTCAGTGTGGGTGTGATGCAGTAGGAACGAAATTGTCGCGTCGCGGCAAGAGGGGCGCCGCGCGCGAAGGATTGTAGCAGATTGTAGCAGCAGGTAAGAAATACAGGAACATAGGAACCAGTAGTAGCATCATGTCTAAAATAAGGGTCGCATATTGATTGAGCTGTATGAAGAACGCTAGAACTGTTATAAAGAGTCAAATGGTCCGCGACAGCCGCATGCGGCGAATCGATTACTGAAAACCGTTCCTTCTGCCCGTCTCCCAGTGGCTGTTACTATGTTCCTATCATGCATATTGCTCAGAAATGGAAGAGGACAGTAATGTCGTGTGAAGCTTGCTCACTACGTAAAACATGTTCACAAGGGAACGGCGAGGTTGTTCCCTCGATAATCAGCAGTTGGTGAAAATGTAGTTGGGGGGTGCCAGCGCCCATCCGTCTCGTTGCTCTGCGTCTCTGTCCCAGGCGGTAGGCTTCCCAGAGCGCGGATATGTCCTCTTAATAGGGATTAAGGATAAAAGGATAAAGTTTTTGGCGTTAATCAATCCCGTCTGAGGGATGCGCCCCCGCACTCGACTTCC